ATCGGCGCTGTAAACTGATAGCCGATTAAATTCAAATCAATAACCGTTGGTAACGCACTCTCTAGTAAACACTTTTGACTGCTCACTAGAAAGTGCGTTACACACCACAGGCAACCCATAGTAAGAATCAAAACACCAACGGTGATCACGGGTCGCGGTAAAAAGCTGAAACGGAAACAGCGGAAAGCTGAAAGAGCTGAAATAGCTGAAAAGTTTAGAAATGTCATAAATTCAACCTATTTCTGTACTTGAATTACTTTCATCACTCTTTTTATCATGAAAGAGCTGCAAGAGCTTTGATTTTTTTTCCTTTATAAACTATGCCGAGGAAAGCCAAAAAAAACAACAACAACAACAACAACAACAACAACAACAGCAATAAATCTAGCTCAGTCCGAGAAGCGCTTGACAACTGTCTTCGCAGTAGGAGAGCGACGTTATGTTGACCAATGAGCAGCCCGTTGCTAAGAAAAGGTGCTTGGTCTTCCAGAAMAAGTAACTTGATCAACGTMACAATATGAAGTTGGACTTCTTAGTGGMTGTTCAGTATCAAAGAAATATTTTCAAAGCTGACCATTCACCGAGCGGTCCAGCAATGAAGCTCTTAATTCTAGCCAGGATCAAAATCTGAGCAGCATGATAGAAGGCTTAACAAGAAATCTCTGTGCATGGACTTTATTTAATTTTATTTATATTCTAATACTATGTAGAAATTTTATTTTTCGGTAAAGAGAATGCGTGACATTGACCTTTCTGGTTGGTCCATTGGCTGGTATCTCTGCAGTTAACATTTTTTTCATTTTTTTTATTTTTTATTTTTTAGTTTGACATTATTTATATTATATCATCTTTCATAATATTTGTCTACTGATTATTATCTATGATAATAAGAAGTTCTGCACTTTTCTGCACTTTTCAGCTCTTTCAGCTGTTTCCGTTTCAGCTTTTTACCGCGATCCCCGATGAACTCCAGTACCAAGAAAGCTGCTTGAAGGAGGGCAAAAGTTGATATATGTGAATATGTATTAAAATCATTGAAAATAAAAACGCAAAAACTATAAAATATAGCAGCAGATGACAAGCAGCCACCCATGTCGGTAGTCATCATGTTGAGTAGGTGACATCAATGGCTCCTTCTTTAAACATTTACGAGAATTAGTCAGTAAGTCAGTAACCCCTCTATTAACGATGCAAAAAAAATACTAAATACTTCGAATTCGCATTGAAATACCAAGTAAACTGCTGCAGTTTTGTTTGACATTTTCACTTAACCAGTTTTATGGAGGAGTTTGTTGTCAGAGTTTAAAAGTCCGAGGAAACTTTCTGTGGTAAGCTAGTAATGATTTGTGAGACGTATGGAATGTTTTAGGCAGCTTATATGTCACAAAAACACGAAACAATACATGTTATATAAAATGTTTTAGCATTTACCTCACATCAAATCATAGTTTTAAAACTGAATGAAAAATATAAAAAAAATGTAAGCAGATGATAAGTAAAGGATACCTTCACAGGTTTTCCCAATTACGACGATCCCTTGAATAAAATGACATTAAATCATTGAACATTAACTTAATTACAGGAGAAATTTATTTTTGTTAATGAGCGTCCCTTGCTTCATTTGATGCAGACAGTCTACTGCAGTCATCACTTTCTCGTATAGTGTAATATTCTTCCCCGGACATTGTTATCCATGAGATGGTAATAAGGAATGGGGATAGCTCTGGCCTGGGACACGCCTAGGCCAAAGCGAGAAGTGCATTGAGGGTAATTCAAACCCGGCTTCCTTTGGGCGGGCRGGTGGGACAAAGACGATGTTTGACCGGCTGCCTCGAGTAGAGTGACACTATAGRACCACGTGAAG